AGCCCCGTTACGAAGTCTTAAGTAAATGACAGAATCTCCTATATTTTGGAAAAGGCGTTCATTAGCAGATGTAGTACGGTTTTCTTTTCTTGTCCGTTCTTGGTTTCTGAAACTAACCAAAGCAAACGCCCTACTGATGAATAGCTCAGCAGCTATTAAGGAAAACATCTGAACAATTTGATACTTTGAGAGCTTTCGGGACTACGTTGTCCCGTGTTCAGCGATAGTGATTTTGTCGAAAAGACCAGAAAAGCCTGCTAGCCTTTCTCAAGATTTTCCGAGCTACGAAGGTATTCGACAGTCGGCTGAAAGAGGAAGGAGTTCCTGCTGCAAGCTATCCCCGTATTCGAAGAACACTCCCCACTTGGCAGACAGTGAAAGCGGAAAAGTAGTTAAACAAATGGTTATGAAGGTTCTCTTTTCAAATAAATACGGCATAGTGATGTGATCCTATCGCTTCAACATCCAATAAACTGCAGACGCCAACTGCAAGCTTCAGGAATGAAGCGTGTGGCTAAAAGAGCTTTAAACAGTAGAATTTAGCCAAAAAGGTATTCTCATATCCCGACTTTCGACTAGTACGGATAATGGAGGTTCAAGTGTTTTAGCAGAAAAAAGACCAGATTGAACTAATCAGTCCTACCCTGACAATGGGTGACTCGTAAGTGCTGCAAACACTGACCATCTCTACATTTGACCTTTCGCGTTCCTTAAATGTAAAGACATTTGAGGAATGCGTCTCAGCTTCTCTTGAAACAATCAAAGATCAGGGCAAAAGATGAAACTTACTGGCTCTATGGAACATGGAAACGGCGAATTGGTCAACGCAAGTGGATGTAGACAAAAGAACGTCGTTGTTATAATAACTAATTCTAACCTGAGCTTCAGATAATCTAGTACAGTAATAGCTAAACAGCTACTTTCACAGCTGTTCAAGGCGCGCCGAGCAATAATGTAATAATTGGAGTAGGTACGGGATAGTACGCCTGTGTTCTAAGAAAAGATCAGAGAAAAAGAGGAAGAAACGCAGCTTTCGCGACGCTTGGATCCTATCGTCAGAGTGAGAGGGGAAGGGCGTGAAAACCTACACACCTGCCACCACACAGCCTATTTTAAAATAAGTACTAATACTCCGGGTGCTTACAGAAGAAAATATGTATATAGAATTATGGCTGCAAGAAAGGACACGAACGGTAAACATAGGAGCACCAGACAGAACAACGACTACACGACTGAACCTCTTGCAAGCGCGAACGCAGAATCACAGGCACCATTGCGGCCTTACAATTAAACAATTTCGTACCCCAAAGTTTTGAAACAGACTTCGTAAAAACCATTAAAATATTTCTCCCTTTAGCGACAAATTGGATTGCCATTATCTGGTTCTACCCACAAGCCCAAGTTCGTGGTGACTGTGACCTAGTGAACGAAATCGCTTAACAAGAACCAATTCAGATCTTGTTCCTTATACGCCCATCAGTGGTACTGTAAGCGTGCCGTCCATCCTCTTTTCTCTGGTTGGTTGAGCGTAAGGCAGAATGCAAGCTTCACGTTTACGCTTAAGGTTAGATAACGAAAGAAGAGAATGGCCAGCGTCTGCCAGAAAGGTACGTGCATGTGCC